ATCGAAAGAACGCAAAGATGGTTCTCCCAATAAGTCTACTTCACGAACTCCCTCTCGATGTAATTGCTTCAATAGAGTATTGTACGATGCTCCTCTTCTCCTTCTTTCTGCTTCCAGATCGATTTCCTCTTCGATGTCTGTCATATCATCATCTTCTTCACCAGTGTAGGCCTCTCTAGAAGTTTGGTCTTCTTCATATTCCAACATGCACGCTTCCTCTTCGTTATCCTCATTTTCTTCTTCTCCCTTCTATTTATTCTTGAACTCATTGGCTAGTAAATAGTTATTAGCCACAACAGGAGGTAACGTACCAAACTGAATAGTAAGGGGCTGATTTGGATCTTCTCCATCCCTTCTATCTCGCTCAAACTTCGACCTCCCAGAAGAAGTCTCTGGCAATTCTTCCATAGGTTCGCCTGTACCAGTCTCATCACTGTCTTTGAAAACATTTTGATTAGTTGCTTTGAGTAGTCTAGGTGCCTTAGGACGTAGCATTCCCTGTTGTTGCCTCATCATTCCCCCATAGTTCCATTGAAAATGCCTTTGTTGGGTTCTAGTCATCTCGTTGAAATGTATCGCCCTTCTAGCCTCATACTAGAATGAATGCCATACATTTGGTTGGCGAGGTTGCGGTCCGAATGTTCTTCCCTTATTTACTGGCCTGAACTGCCTCTCAAAAGGTGGTCCCTTATAGAACGATGTAGCCTGCCCTCTACGAGGCTGAGCATTTAGGAAAAAACTAAGGCGACGGTGATGCTGCCATATCCCTGATTTCTCTGCATTTGCACTTACTTCTTTTTTACATCTTGCACATAGGATGTCTTTGTCCTTTTTGGGCTCCTTCCCTTTGATATATTCAAAGACGCTGGGGTGTGGTCCAGCTTCTTCTTCTCCATCATCTATAACCAACTTGAATTTTGGCAACTTGCTTCTAAAACCAGACATCACCATGTTCACTCCAAGTGGCTGTGAAAAAGGATTATCCACTGCCATCTTCCTCTTATCCTAGAACATAATTCATCCTTTTTCAATCGCATCCTGTAACACATGGCGAAAAACCAAACAGTTGTTAGTCAAATGTGACCATGCATTATGTCACTTACAATATTTTTTACTCTTAATTTGTTTAGGGCTTGGCAATTTATGCTTATCGCTCAGTTTTATCTACTTATCCTTATATAATTTATCAAATATAAGGCCAACTTTGATTACATCGAACGAGAACGTTCTAGTCTTTATGTTCTCATCTTTTATAGGCTCATTCTTTCCTGACGGTCTAGGCTTAACCATTATAAGACAAGTATGTGTCTCATTTAACTAATTCGGCCAAACACATTTCGGTTTGATCGTAATACTCGTCGTTAATGGTATGAACATCAAAATTTGGGTCTCTATAATAAGTCCCTTTGCTAGAATTTTTCATTTGTTCTTCCTCTCTTATTAATCGTTCATACCTAATCACGTTCGTGCTCAATTGGAAAAGATCAGGAAATCCCTTGTCTTGGAACTTCTTCTTCAGATCAAAGTTTAGACAACCTTGAGCGATTTTGACAAACTCCTTTTCGGGCAAAGGTACAAAACATTTACTTCTTACTGTTTTGAACCTTTGAAGGAAACTTTCTGCCCATTCGTTTGGCATTTGACGTAGATTCACCAAATCGGCCAAAGTAACTTCAGACTCAGTCTTATAAAATTGAGCGTGGAACAATTGCTCCAATTGTTGCCATGTTTGAACAGAGTTTGCTGGCAAATTGATGAACCAGGAGAAGGCTACTCCTATTAATGAACTAGGGAACAACCTCATTTTATGGTAATCAATTACGTCACCACTTTGCAGTGTGAATTGCCCTATGTGTTCTAGAGTAGACACCTCTCCTAAACAGGTAAACAGTGAGAATTCTGGCACTTTATACCCTCTAGGCCATGGATATGCTTGGTCTACCCAATCAGGATATGACTTTGTGTAAGTCGGCCTAATCACAGTACGTACTCCAAAAGCCATCTGGTCCTGTACGATTTCCATAATCTGGCTCCTCAACATGACGTTGGAGTCATATGGAATCCCTACAGGTTGGTTGACTGGTTGATTTGCTTGAGGCCTAATGTTTGGTCCTTGGTTGGCAACAAAGTTGCCATGATTTGGGCTATAGTTACTATTAGCCTGAACATTTATTCCATCATTAACACATGGGGTATTCTGTCCATTATTTAGGATATTATCCCTTACATTTGGATTACCCCCCAAGTTAGATGTACCAATGCCACTATTCTGATTCGGTATTGCACCACCCCCTTGGTTTGAAGTAGAGGGATCAAAAGGTAGTTCTACCCCTGGATTTAAACTTAGGACTGGGGGATTATGTCCCACAATTGTCCTAGTTTGAAAGTGGTTTGTAAGAGGCACAACTGGCTGACAAATTTGGCATACTAACTTATTCATTATTTCGTTCAAAGTATTCAGTTGTTTGGTCATGTTGTTATAATGTGCATTCCCATTCTGGGTAAGTCTTTCCATATTATGAATATTTCATAGATTTACCTGTTCAATGACATCTTGTGTGAGTTCTCCGAGTAATGCACGCATGGTTCGAGGACTCAACTCTGTCATTGGTTTGTAACGACTATGATTGCTCCGATTCTGTCCATCTGTTCGTGGAGAACTATGCTGCTTCTCATATCGCTCGATCACAGACTGGACTCCTTCCTAACTTGCTGCTTCCTTATCGGATTTCTGAGGCATATTATTTCACCTGTTGTATTTTCAACACCAAACACCAATGTCCCACTGGCATGCCAAATTGTTTCGCGCGGGTAGTCGCTAACAATTAAAAAGGGATCAGACGATTGTGTAAGGGACAAACCTCTTGAAACAAAGTCCCAAAAAGAGGTGTTTTATTAGAAATGACTTTACAATTGGAATTTAAACAGAATGCCTCCAAGGGGTGCAAACACATGAGTACTGAAAGAAATATTTAAGTCTAAACTAAGAAATTGAAATTACATATTCTCTGTTTGAGAGTGTTTGATTTGGGCTCTCTGCTCTATGTCTTTTCTTCCTTTTATATTCCCTTGATGCTCTTTTTGTGATCAATCACTTAGAAACTGCTTAATTGCTTTATAACTGCCCACTTTCTTCATGGTGGCCAACTTATCGTGGAACTGTCGCCTCTAAATGCTGCCACTACTCTTTGTCGTTCAACCGTCTTCAATTGAACTTCTTGAATCGTGGAACGTGATAAGATTACCCAATAACTACTTCGATAACTGTACTTTTGGATAACCATAATATCTTATGTTTGTTAAGATCCTGGGCGATTCGAAGGTTTGGGCAAGAACGGGATTACAACTCTGGGCGACTGCAAGGCATTTCATTCGCTCAGATCCTAGGCGTCTTGTAAGTTTGGACGATGGTGTTACCGCGTTCGTGGGCTTCCACTGCATTCATTAATAACCGTATTTGGTCATTTGTCATGAATTGCCCAGTTGGGCTTCATTCTTTGGGCTATTTGAATTAGGCTGCACTTTTAGCATGTTAACAATAGGTAATAATGGAATATTGAAAGTTACGGTAATACTGGTTAGAAATTTTGATATGAACATACTATCTCTAGTCGTTTTGCAAAAAAATTCCGAGTCACGAACTATCGTCAAATGTCAAACACTGGGATTACCTCAATGTAATCATTCTGACACGATGCCAATGATGGATATTCTCAATATTATTGTAGCAACTAAATTAATTTGGAAATTGAATATTATATGTTTTGCTGTTGAATTTAATGCCACACGTTTTCTGTGTCATTGGAAAATTTCAGTTACATAAACAAAATGGAAAGTTTAACATGCAGTACTTTTGGGATTCATTTGGGGTTTGAAGTATTTTGGGTTATTATTTGAATTTATTTGAAGTATAAAATGAATTATTATATATTAATATGGTATATATGATTTTTTCCCCTTCATTTTCTCTCATAACAAGCTTATATTTTTGCTAAGCCCACCGAAAGATAATGAGTTTTTTCCGATATTTTTTTCAGTGTCATTGGAGGCTGCCTCCTTCCTAAGTTATATTGACAAACATTAAAAATAAAGAATAAGTAACTTGTACATTTTTTTGTTTATTATGGTTGCCACTCCATTGATTTTCAAATTGAAATGAACGGGAAAGTATGTTTCCATTTAAAACTATTCACTCATGTTACGACACATGACACAATGTCAAAAATGATGTCAAACAAAGTGTACATGTAGCATGATTGTAAAAATAAATTCTTCCAATGAAGCAGTGCCATTTAAGCTTTCAAATATATATATATTTTAAACCTTGAGGTGTTAGTTCAGTGGTCATGTCTTGAATTTGCTCCACAATGATCACCAGTTCAAGTCCCCTTCTAAACTACTGGAGGTTTACCCGGCCATTAACTTCAAGCCTCGTGGAATTAGTCGAGGTGCACGCAAACTGGTCCGGACACCCATAGTTAAAATATATATAAACCAAATCAAGTTATTTTATTTTTTAACATAAAGTAAAAGGATAATAATCTTTTACAACCAACTTTTTATGAATAGAAACCATTTACTAAGGACCGACTTGCTATAAACTTGAAAGGCTAGAGTTTTGAGAAGAAAAGAAAATGGGGGTGCGGTTCCATGTCTTTTTTTCCTATCCATACTGCAAGAATACAACACAACTTTTCAAAGGCTTCCACTTAAATTCCAGTTACCTTCTTCCATTCCCATTTTGCAATTCCTAAATAACAAGCAAACTTTTTATAATATGAGGCTCGTATAGAAAAACACATTTTTACTATAACAAATAGGCCGAAGTGGGTTGGACGTAGGCACATCACCAAACAATTTAACTCTGCGTTCTTATTTTTTTGTCGATTTCATATTCTTCATCATTATTATTGTTGCTTAAATCACAACAAAACTTAGTCATAATCCTTAGTACTAGCTACATATCAGATATGCAAATGAAAGATGTCGAAACATTATGGTGAATAAACTTAAAACAGATTTCATCATTTATTTGAAAACTGACAAGCACTAAATGCAAAAATACACAGTAAGATAAGCCAGCATCAGGAAGCTTAATACACACACCTCCCATTCATTTGGCAGGTAAGTACTTCACCGAGGGCATCGTCTAGACACAACTATAATCCCACCAGAACTTTGTACACACAACATCCCTTTCTTGCACTTGAAGCAAATGGTAACAACAAGAATATTATCTTATGGCATATTTGGCAAGTTTGATTAGAAGTACTGGGCAGTATCAAGGAAGAAAGGAAGGCAAAATCTTGTCTATTGCACTGGCCAGTAAGGTTTAATACTATCATACCAAACATGCACTTAGGATACAAACTTACTTAGGAACCTAACCGACTATTTCAGAAGGGTAAAAAAATATATCTTGCATCTGACTTTGGAAGTGATAGCCAAGAATCAAAAGTTAAGAGATCTACATGTAGCTGTAGAAGTTTTTCCATTCCCGAGCAGCTACAATCCGCCTAGCCAATATCCTTTTACATGTAGTTATAGAAGCTTCCCCATTTTCGAGCAGCCACAGTTTGCCTAGCCAATATCCGCCACTTCACCACTGCCAGAATCTTGCACCAACTTGTTTTGGGCTTTCTGTTTCTGGGCATATGGAATCCCGAATTTGAAGAAATGACACCAACATCATGATTGGCTGGACCAATAGACAATCCATTCCCTTGCCATGTTGATGACTTAACCTGAATATTACTGCTCGTTGATGGATCATCCATTAACTGATGTGAGACCCCATAGTTTACTCCAGAAGCCCATGTATGCCCTCCATCAAAGAATCCGCTTTGATAATTACTCATCCCAAAAGGGTCTCCCCATGTTGAACTGAAACCTTGCATTTGGAGAGAACTCTCCCCAAAAGGAACATTAATTGAACTATTATCCCATCCCAATTCACAGTTAGATAGAGGCAAAGTTGTATGAGCAGAATTAATCTTTCCTTGAAGTTGATCTGTAAAATGACGATTAGTTTAGCAACTTCCAAAAATTTATAAGCTGGGAAAAGAAGGGCGGAAAATCACTAATTGGTAAAGCTAGTAAATCCCCTGTTAGCTGTGACTTGCATGTAAAATCTTACACTCAAGGGTTAAAGTTTTAATCCAGTTCAATTCTTTATAAGATGGATCGAAGGAGTAAAAAAGGTTCATATTTACCTTGTTCAATGAGGATATTAGAACTCTGAAGAAACAAGCTAGGATGGCTAAAATCGTCTGCTGATTCGGGATTTGACATCAGCATTTGGTAGCTGACAACTGACTGATCATCAATTGGGATCAAGTCTTTCAAGTTTTTATAAGCATGCTGCTTCAAATCTTCCACTGCCTGCTGTCAACAAAATAGGGAAGGCAAATCAGTTTCTCATCAGAAGAAGACAGTTTTAGACCAAAATTATGCCATACAAATACAACTTCTAAGCAGACACGTTAGCAATTTTAGAAGTACATAAGAATCCTGTCGCTGATTACTCAGATCAGAAATTAATTACATTTTTATACAACAAAGTTTAGTTGGACGAGCAATGAAAAGGTTCTGGAGTCATCCTAACATCTAATTCTACCCTCAGTTCTGTGTGAAAGCAGATCAATTTATGGCAAAGCAAACTGAAAAAACAACCAAAGACTGACAAAATTATCACAGGTGAAAACATTAGTGGCCAATGATTTAGTGAAATTTCATGTTGGTCAATAAACTTCATTTTGTTACAAATTGGTCACTGATATTAAATGTCTGTCACAATTTAGTCATTCCATTCACATTCGTTAGTTTGACTAACAAAAAAGCTTACATGACAGCCTAGTTGGCAAATAATTAGATTGCCGTACACCTTGTCCAATTAGTTAAACTAATGGAAATTGATGGAGTCATCAAATTGTAACAAAGATTAAGCTCAGTAACTTGAAATGCATGATGTTTTAGTGACGAATATGAAACTTTGCTAATAGCTTAGTGAATACCAGTGTATATAATCCAAATTATGACAACTGTTGTCCCAAATTTGTGTAGAGATGCAGGAACATACATGCACTCAGTGACATGATTTTCATAATTAAAAGTGTTACTACTTTACTCAAGCCGACAGACAAATCAACATCAGGATGAATTTTAGGATGAAGATACCAACCATCTGATACATCTTGAGTTTATCGAAAGAATGATAAGTTTGTCCGTCAAAAGTAACTCCTTCAACCTCGTAGATGGAATTGAGCAAAAGTTCAGTCCCTCGTGCATCCTTATACTTGTACCACTTCTTATCTAATTTACAAGTTGTAGCATGTTTAGTGATTGTCTCCCATGCCTTGTTTGAGATTTTAGGAAGTTCCTGCAATTTAAGCAATTGGGTCAGGTGGTTTACCTAATTTTTTCGTCAAGAATCCAGTTTCCAATTCATTTATGAAATTTAAAATTGAACCAATGATACCAAGAATGAGTATCTTACAGCACGTAGAGAGCACTGGTCCGTAACATATTTCCTTAAGAAATCTTTCACAGTGCGTATACCACATTCAACCAACCTATTGTGGGATGCACCATCTTTAGCGATCTTTTCCAAGCGCCAAACTTCATCATCCAGGGATGGTGGATAGTGCTTCTGGTATGCTACAGGAATAATGATACGTTAGTTTCTCCATTAACTATATTGAGTATGCACTGCGACTGTAAACAGAAATATAAATATACGCTGCTCAGTTAAGCCATGTGAATATATTACTTCATTAAGAATAGAAATAAAAATGAATAGGTGAATCATCAAACTTCATGTGATCTAACAGAAAATCTTTTGGAACATCCACATCATCATGAAGCAGCAAGAAACTTTTGAAAGAAAAAAGCGCTTCGACAAATTAGTTAAAGGTTCAAGTACTGGAGGAAATATCATGACAACTTGAAGGACATGGTTATTAATGTATTATTTGCTTAAAGCATCACTTAATTACAATTACATGTTGACCAAAAAAAAATGGTCTGAAGTGATTACGGACAAAATTTGATAGGGAAGAATGGTTCAGAAGAGATACTCACATTCTCCACGATGATCTTTTACTTTGAAGGCTTTGCTTATTCCTTCTCTGATTCTTACTTCTGTGGAACTCAAATGCGCTTTTGCTCCCAAACAAAATTTCCCGCTCCTTATCCAGCTCGAGTTGTCTGTAAAATAGACATCACCTATATAACCTACACCCTTGTGCAAAGAAACTGTTGAGTCCCCATTCACCAATGGCCTTCTTCCTTCCCTGTTCCTTACAATTTTGCGATTAAACTCCTCCTCCAGCCAATCTTCTCGATCATCGGAATGAAAATCACCATCAACCACAATAAGGTTGACCTTTATTGAAGATAGGGGTCCAGATGTTATCATTTTCTCAGAAATAGAATCATACAATACTATCTTCACAGGGGTTTTCCCCTCAGATACCACCCTATTGCATGTGAACAGCGTTGAAGGCAATTTACTGTCAAAACGCAACTGCAAGTTCCTTGATCCAGAACACTGCGAGGGTCTACAGAAAAATAAAAAATAAAAATTAGTAGATAAGAGTTTCAAAATGCTATTTAACTTGAAAAGGAGGTAGGATCAATAAATAATTAAGTTACATATCAACATAAAGACATAAAAGGAACTAATCATAGTCAATTATTATTATAATCTAAATAATCCCACGGAAAATGACATCTAATTAAGTATTTTACGACATGATAGCATGATAAGAGACAAAGAACCACATATGATGCAAAACATTAATGCAATCTGATAATTGATGGATGAACTAACCTCAGTATCCGTTGGATTACGCGGTCCACCTCCTCATGAACCTATCATACAGAGATTCAAACGGATTAATGAATATAAAGAGTCCAAAAAAAAAAAAAGGGGCGATCTAATATACACACCACACACTTAAGTCTCATAAAGACATCTGAAATAAGAATTCAATAATAGTAAAAATACCAAAACGTTAACCTCTTATCAATGACTTGAATATGGTTAAAATTTTATAGCTACGTTTAAATGCCACACGTTTTCTTCACAAAAAATGTAAATTTTACAAAAATTAATAAAAATTACAGAAACTACCATCATGAGGACATCCCAGAGTCACTGTTTTGGACATCCATGGGCAGGGCAAATGTGGTATTATGAAAAATGTAATAAATAGCTAGAAAGTGCAAGAAGGTAACAAGTATTTTAAGAAAATAAATGTTCTAAAATATTCTTATCACGAGTTCAACAAACACACTTCCAAGAACCAATTTTACAGAATCAAGCTGTCACATCCAAACCTCAATTTCAGATTTGTCCAAACAAATGAGTAACCAAAAAAAGAGACTTTTCCTCGAATCATCAAAATCTTATCACTTCATGAACTTCAAATTCACAACAGAAATTAGTATAAAACTACAAAACCTTTCTCAAATCACAACGATGCATTCATATCAGTTAACAAGAACAGAGATGATACCCAACTTCAATTCTCAGCATACTTCTGCACAATTGAGTAAACAAAGAAGAGACTTTTCTTGAATTATCAAGATCATATCACTTCCTAAACTTAAAATTTACAGCAAAATAACTTGAAAAAATTTACTAGACTTTTCTCAAAGTACAGAGATGCATTGGTATCACTTAACAATGACAGAGATCATACCACGCTTCGAATGTTGGGCTCCAATCTGGGTATATATTCTTGCATTGACAGACCATTCCTTGTGCCCCTTAAAACACTGAAATGACCCAAATACATAAACATCAGGAAAAAAAGGAAAAAAATTCAGCACAGCTAAATAAACCAACAAAAGAAATACAAATGGGTCAAGTGTTAATCCACCCACCTTGCAGTTATATGCCGTCGTTTATATTCTCCGGTTGCAAGGTCAGATCCCTCCTCACCCCCCTCCCTAAGCAGTCGTTTCGATAACATCAAGAAGGCTTGATTCACTACCCTTAAAAGCTCAACTAATTAAACAATCAATGTCTTAAGACTTTAAAGGCAACTAATCTTAAACTTCCTCCTTAAATAGAAAATGTCCAAATTGCTGAAAGTACCTAGGAAACTTCGAATTTCAATTCATTATTAAACAATTAAACAACCCTCAAGTCACAAAAGTCAAGCAAATAATTGATCATTATACCTAGTAACGAAATGCCATTAACTACCTAAATTGTTTTAGGCATTATCCAATATTTTATTTCTTGGATTTTATGCTTTTTGCATAGTATATATATAGGACAGACCGCCGAGTGAAATATGCCAATTTCAAATTCTACAAACTACAAAAATTTCAACACAACTGAAACAACCGCGTAAATGCAGAGTAAAAGGCCCGCAAGAACACGTAAAACAATAAATAAATAAAATGTAGAAGAATAAAATCACAAGAAAAGACGAGGAAGAACAGAAAGATACAAAAGATACAAAAATGACGCGGGTTTTCTGACTAGTAAATAATCAAGTGCGAGAAAAAGGAGAAAGTGGCGCGTTTTTGGCGAAGAAATCAAACAGCGTGAAAGAGACTTGCAAGGTCGTCTCGACTCTCGTCCATGTCGTCGGTTTGATTAATCAAGTTTTGATTCATGAGTTATGAGACAAAAACTTGAGTCGTCATTTCTTTGGCTTATTTTAATTTTTTTATTCCAACATTTTGCAAACTCTTTATTTATAAGTGTAATCCATAATAGACATCATTTTAAATTTAGAGAATAAAAAATTTAATATGTTCCAACAATACATTTTATTTTAGATATTTATTTTGATTTTCTTGAAATATTTACTGTGTTTTCCTTATAATTTGTTTAACATATTAATTTATATATCACTGATCAATCAATTTAAATATGAGTCGAATGATTTAGCCCCTATTGGGCCCCCATTAATTTTCGTTCTATTTCATTTTTTTTTCCTCTCCTATTTTGACCATAAATCTTCCATAAAATAATAATCCGTGTAATTTTTTCCTTCTTTATCAACCACTTATTTTTCAAAAAATTATTATTCCACCCATTTTTATTAGCCCAAAATAGGAGCCAAACGGAGGCTTAATGAACATAAGTTGTGGCTTATTATTCAGCCATCAGAGCAGCTCCAAGAAGCTTTTTAAAACTATATTTCAAGAGACCTTTTAAAGTAGCATTTTAAAATAAACAATGAGTTTGACTCTCAACACCGGATAATTAAATATATTCAAATTTTTTTAATTTTCAATGAAAAAAATAATATAATAATGTGGATGAAAGCTAATTAATATAAAAGTTAAGAATAAATAATAAATATTTTATGTGAATAATAAAATTAAGCATTAAATATAAAGAGTTCGTTGAAGTATTTAAAATTTTTTACTTTCTAAATTTATAGATACTAACTAAATTGTAAAATATGATATTTAAAAATAGAGAGTTTTTTTGAAAATGAGCTTGCATTAAAATAAAATAGTCTCTTGGGTTTATTCTTAAGTATTAGAGCATCTAAAGATATTTTTTTAAAAGTGAAATGCTCCCAATTTTAAAGGGTCAATGTTTAATCATACTCCCAAAAACTATTCTAATTAACATTTTAAAATAGCTATAGTAAATGGATTCAAAACATTTCAATTTTTCAATCCTTTATATATTGACCCAATTATATAGTAGTATATAGAAAAATATGAAAAATTATATAATAATTTAGAGGGAACATAGTGAAAATAAAATATATGTAAAAATTAATAAATTCTTATTGTGAGTAATAAAGTTAAGTTCTTGTTTGAGCAACATTTTTGGGCCAAAATGCATTTTAAAATAGTGTTTTTTGTTGGAAAATATGTGATCAAAAAATAAGAAAAAATTTTGAGTTTACATAAATTTATAAAAGAACATGTCGTTGAAAATGAGTTCTGAAAAAAATTAGAATGAAGAGGACGTTGGAATATTAAAAAAATTACTGTCAAAATTTATAGATGTACTAAATTGCAAAATATGCTTTTTAAAAATCTTAGAACCCTTTGAAATGCTATTATCTCTCTAAAATAAAGATCATTTTTTATTTAGATTCTTTAGAAGATGCAATAAGAGCATTTTCAAAAATATTATTTTTAAAGATCGTATGTTACAATTTAGAGGGTACTATAAATTTAGAGAAAAAGTTTTTAGGTACTCCAACGAGTTTTTTATTTTTAGTACTTAATTTTATTACTTCCAAAAAAATATTTATTATTGCTTGTTTAAAATAGAAAATATCTTATATTTAATAAGTATCTTAAATATATACTCTAAGTAGTTAAGGATGAGTTAGGATTAACTTAATTTTTCTAACTTTCCATTTTTTTTATTTTTTTATTTATTTTTTTTTGGTATAAATGGATTGTGTGTTGATTTTTTCGATCAAACTAAATATGATTTTCACAACGTTGGTGCTAACCAATGATGTTTAGCTAAGCTTAAAAATATTTTTTAAGTTAATAATTGTTCATAGGTTCCATTTGGAGACTTATTCTGGTAATAATTTACGAATTGTTTTTAAAATAATCAAATTTTTTATTTAACAGTAATTAAAAATTTTGGATTTTTTTAAAGGGAGAAATTATTGGGAGTAGGGGTGTTTTTCTTTTACCAATATTAAAAAATAAATTATCAGAACTGAGGGTCAAGTTGATGAGTTATTCTTGGGTGACACCAAGGGTTGTCACAGTGGCTTTTGCCCAAGTTGATTGAGTTAAGATGCAAATTTCGTTTTTTTAAATCTTTTTTTTTTTTTCTCTTTTTTTCAACTCTCTATATTCTATATTTGGAGTATGCGCCCCATATTTGTCTAAATATACCATGTTCTAAACGAACGTAAGTTTGAAGAATATCTTATCGAAGTTGTACAATTAAGACATTTTAATAGAGTTTTATTCTTTTTTATTTGAGACATCAAAATTTTTTGTGTTTAATTACTTTATAATCGTTCACTACAAGGGTGTTTGAGAGCCATTTTTATGTAAAAATGTATTTTGGAATAGTAAATTGATAAGAAATATGTTATTGAAAAATAAAGAAAAGTTTTTGATTTACGTGTAATATTATTTTAATGAAGAATGTGCGGTTCAAAAAAAGAGAGAGAAAAATGCATTTTGAAAAAAATGGGTACACTATAAGATTAGGGCCCCGTTTGAGAGTGATTTTCACTCAAAAAATTTGATTTTTTTAACCGTTATTTTACTATTTCAGCCGTAATTTTTGACTTCTTCTCTCACAGGTAGCCCCCACTTTTCTCCTAATGGTCAAAAAATTAATTCTCAAAATTTTTTCCGAACGGGCCCTAGATGAGTAGGATTTGGTCCTTTTTTGGATTTAATTTGAGAAAAGGTTTATATTAGACATATGAGTGCAATAAAAAGTTTGCATTCAATTAAAAAGCTATAAAAAAACAAAAAAAAAAGATCCGATTATCCCTTTACTTAAAATCGTCAAGAAAATTGTAGCTCCTCAGTATAATTCCATAGTAACAAGTTGGTCCCTAACTTTTCAAAAAGAGTAAGTTAGTCCTCATATTTAATTATAATTAAACAGTCAATCTTCAAATGTTTGAATCTTTGACATATCATCTCATGACACCTATGTGCTTCATTTCAAATTTCTAGAAACCACTCTAAGGCTTCGTTTGGTACCCATTTTTTTCAAAATACATTTTTCTCTCTCTTCTTTTTAACCACACATTCTTTATTAAAATAATATTACACGTAAATCAAAAACTTTTCCTTATTTTTCAACCACACATTTCCCATCAATTTACTATTCAAAAATGCATTTTTACATAAAAATGTCTCCCAAACACAAGTTAAGTTCAAAGATTAAAATTTAACCCATATTTGTCTACCATTCTCTAAAAACTCTTTTTTTCTTTTAAAACTCATTTTTAATCACACATTCTTACAATAAAATATTTTGTACTTAAACTAAAAATTTTCCTAGTTTTAATTACACATTCTCCAAAAAAGAAAATCACAATTTTAAAATTCATTTTTCAAAAAAAAAAAAAATTTAATGGGCATAAAAAAGTGGATTAGTTTCATGAAGTTGGACAAGCAAGAGTTATGAGACAATTTAATAGAAATAGATGATCTTCGTCATTGAAAACTGATTATATAACTACAATGAAATATTTGAGACCAAATTGCAATAAAATAGGGACATATCTTGCCCTTTTTTTCTAAAAAGACAAGTATTGTAATGAAAGAGTAAAAGCAAGTCACATTTTCATTTTAAAAAAGAAAAGTAGAAAAACTATTGTCAAGAAAAAGTAAAAGCAAGTCACATTTTCATTTTATTCTCTTTGTCAAAGGATTTTTTATTTGTTTTCTTATAATTACTTCATTATCATATCTTACCAAACCAAATCAAAATTCCAATATTCGTTAACATTAATGAATCGCTATCAACGTTTCTTCATCATTGCCAAGAAAATTCTTACAAGTCAAATGGAAAACATTTGGAGTGTTGAATTCATGAATTGGTCACAGTATGTTTGGTGGGAAAGTTGAGGTGATGATCACTCCATCATATTATAACTAATTTTCATTGGAACAAAGCGAACATATCAATATCGAGTTGGTAGGAATATTCAATTGAAAATCAATTCATTTCCATCCAGAAAAAAATAATAATAATAAAATAAAAATACGAGAGTAAAAGGCAAGGACCATCCTTTTCACACCAAGATCTGGTCAATTTACCTTAAATTTTTAACTTTTCACATTTTCAAAATTTTTAAGTATTAGTTAGACTTTTAACTTTTTATATTTTCAAAATTTTTAACTATTAGTTCAATCTGGATTCGACCTTTTCACTTTACTATTTTTGGTTGTTAGCAATTTCGATTTTCAAAATATTAGTAAAAAAATAGAAATACCAAGCAAGTTCTGATATATTTTTTTAAATCTTCAAATTCGTTGGTGACAGTTTCTTGGAAAATTGTCGCTTGTTTGAGTTTAGTCTCCACGAAATTGGTTTGCAACTACATTTGATTTTTGTTAATAAAATATTACAAATGTTTCTTTCAAGATATTGAATTTGAGGGTTGAACTAAGGATCCGTCTAATTGCAAAAATGGAATTGAATTGAATTGAAAATGAATTTTAAGAAATTAAATTGTCTAGAAATTATTTTCTTGGAAATTGTAAATTATTGTGTTTGATTGATATAATTTTTCACGTGAAAAATGTTAAAATAAAAATATTTTTTGGTGCTCGTTTGGCTTTATTTTACATAAAAATTGTCAATTAAAAGGATGAATTTTACTTATATTGGGATGAAATTTGTTTTCATTGTCAAAAAAAAAATGAAGAAAATCATCTATCTTTTAATGTTCGTTTGGCTTTGTTTTAAACATGGAAAATTCCAATTAAAGGGAAATATTTTTTTTACAATAATTCTTAAAATTTGTTTCCGTTACCAATAAAAAAAAAAAAAAAAAAAACCGCTACAGTGCCCGAAAAACGAATTCTCACCAATATATGGTGAGAATTCGAATTCAAGAAAAAGATGGAAAATGCTAACGTGGTTGGCGACCAAAGGTGGAAAACGAATTCCTTGAATAATTTTGTCAA